CCTACCGTGTATTCGGAGGCTGGCCCAGATAAGGCAGCCCCCTAAGCACGAGAAGGACGTACCAGGGGCCAGTCCTCCCCCTCTGTCTGCCTCTCCCTAGCTGAGAAGGACGTACCAGGGGCCAGGCCTCCCCCTCTGTCTGCCTCTCCCTAGCTGTGCACACTCATTCCCTTTGCTTCCATCCACCATGCTGTGGGATTACAATAACACATGCTCAACAAAATGTGCTGCAGTTAACAGTTTGTCACCCAGTGTCAAAAGTGCCAACCCAACGGTGCCCAAGAAAGGCCAACAGTAGAGAATACTATATCCTGCCAATTGGCTTGGCAGATGATTCTGCCCTCAACCTGATTTCAATCAGTTTGAACTCGCCTAAAGAAGCAAACTGCTATATCACGAGCAGAAGACAGGCTCAGAATATCTAATTATATTCAGGAAGGTGCATATAACAACTAGTCTCATAAACACCTAGTTCTGTTTAAAACTAGAGCTTGTATGAAGGGAGGAAGAACTCAGTCAAAACTCAGATGGCAAGCCTCTCCTCCTCATTCGTCAAGCCATGGCTTCTAGTTTTGTTTTGTTTTGTTTTTCCTTCCACGAAAGGAAAATAAAAGCGGCCACTATCACCTCACACAGGCTCACAAACTGCCCTTAATAGTCGAGGGGACTGCAGCAAACACAGCAGCTCCCTCATACACGAGGGGGCGTGCACACGAACACAGGGGAGCTGGGAATGTGAACGTCCACCACAGCCTTAGTTAGCTTCTTCCGCTGCTTTACCACTGGTTCTAAGGGAACAAGAACACAGGACAAGGAGAAGGCTCTGAGCAGGGTTCTGAGGGACCTGCCTCAGACTCTGCTACTTCATAACAGACTGGCGCAGCTTTGAAGTTCAAGAAATTACCAGTGGCCATAGGAAAGTGAGCAATGCGCATTCTATAAGATAAAACGTGAGTGTTTCAGAAGACAGGACCAGCTCTAATTAAGAGAACTGGATTCTACACCCACTGCCAGTCATGCCATTCATTTAAGGAAATAACTAGAAGTTTAAGTTTCTTTGCAGGTAAGTTTAATGTCATTTGGTCACATATGACGAAAACTGCCTTCAGTTGCTTTGTGTTACCTATATCCAAATCTCTCTGTACCAATCTCACAGGCTTTCCCGATGCTGGCATCTTTAGTGGTGACCTTCATGATAAGTGTGCCCACAGCAGTCTTTATAGAGCACTAAGCTGCCACGCTTACACCGGGCAACTTTCCGCATGGGATGGGCTCGTCCATGCTGTGTGAGTGCAGACCGTGGTGCTGCGTTGCTGCTTCCAGGCGGGTTCTGTGGAGCCTGTCCTAGGCGTCTCCCCACAGGCCTGCTGGGTCCTCACAGCGGCCTCACAGGCCCACATCTATGTGGATGCTGAACTGCATGCTAAGCAGTCTCCAGGGCCGACTGACCGGCTCAGGGAAGATGGAGCATACCGGAAGCTCAGCTACCAAACCTATGACCACACAGGCAATCTCTACACATTCAAACCCTTCCCTCAGATCGTAGCAGGAAAAAAAATCCACTTAACTTTTCACCAGAAACTGTTGATTTTGTTTATGAACTCAAATTTGCCTTCTTTTATAATGAGACAAGGAGATCAGGGACATATTCACATTACAGTATTCTACCAGAATGCACCACATATTTAAACAAAACCAGATAAAACACAGGAAGTGACTCTACTGTGAGAATACCAAAAAATATTTTAGGTGGTTTTTGAACCCTTACAAAGTTGAACGCTAAAGAAGGCACTCACGGTCCAGCAACAAGAACACAGCAGCAGGTTGATGTGATCTGGGGGTACACACTGTGGTGAGGATTCTGACAGCTAAGACAGGAGCATCACTGAGAGTGCAAGGCCAGCCTGAGCTGCATGACTTGATGCTTTCTCAAAACACTGAGATCATAATAAAAAGGAGTACATAGCATTTTCCAGGAAGTAGAATTTGTAACATGTGAACATTAACATCGACTGCTTTTTCCCTGTGCGCCTCCTTTCAGGTAGGTGGTCCCCAACTGTCGCCACCATTTTCCTCACACACGACCCAGATCTGAAGCGTGGCTCCAGAAATAAAGGGGGGTAGTCTTTTTAACTTGTTTGTATTACCTCCTCACCTCCAAGGCAATATAAAAACTACCGAATCACCAAACTCCGGTGCTTCCACGATGACAACTTTGAGGTAGGTAGATTGGGGCTAGAGAGGTGGGTCAGCAGTTAAGAACAGCAGTTAAGAGGATCCAGGTTCAATTCCCAGGACCCACAGAGCATCTCACAGTCATCTGCAACTCCAATTCCAGGGGATCCAATGCTCTCTTCTGGCCTCCACAGGCACTGTACACATGTGACATTGTACACATGTGGCACTGTACACATGTGGGGCATAGAGTGCACTCCAGCCAAAAAACACTGATACATGTTTAATTTGACACAGAGAAACAAACAAGAAAAAGATCAAGGTTGACTAGAAACTAGGCAGGCCATGGACCTAGGGGGAAACCAGGTACTTTCTGCTACAAGCACAGAGCACTAAAAGGACTCCTGATGGCATTCTTCTACCCCCATGGAGCAGAGTCCTGTTCGCCCTCCTCAGAGAAGCTTCCTCCTACAGCAGCGCCAAGTCAGTAGTAGATGGCCGACATAACGGCATTTCGGGAGTGCTTTCTGTCTCAATGTTTTGTCTGGATTTTCATTTCAGCCTTACGGTTATGCTTACGTGTTATGGTTTACAACTTTGTTTTTATTGATTTTCTGTGTGTGTACTATTTTGGCTCCCTCCCCTCTCTCGCCCCCATTTTGTCCTCTTCTGGTTTGTTTAGTTCTCTTTTATTCTAGTATTATTGTTTTTTAGAGGTCTGTTTGTATTCTAATGAGTGAGAAAGAAAGGGTATGGATTTGGGTGGGTGGGAAAGTGGGTATGATCAGGGAGGAGTTGGGGAAGAGACACCATAATTAAACTATATTGCATAAAAATCTATTTTCAATAAATAAGTAAATGCAGGTTTTAAAAAAGTCAAGATTGTTACCAAAAAGAAATAACAAAGTTATAAAATAGAAAGCAGTAAAATAACATTCAATTAAATATCATGAAATAACAAGCATAAGATACGATGAAGGAAGTGCATAGTTGATATTTCTCCCCCTCAAAATCAAGTAGCATTTAAGAAGTGTAACATCAGGAGGGACTGTGGTTCAACTGCAGCGCATTTGCTGGCACCGAGGAGAAACACATCTCCTAAAACTTAGGACCAATGCACTCTATATGCCATCTTGAGTTTTCCATCAAAGACGAGATTAATGGGCACTTCTCAGTCACTAGTCATCATCTAGAAACTTTGCACAGAAGAGCAGCCCTTCCAGAGACTGTTGAGATACAGTTTTATTCCTAAGACTAACAGAGTGTGGCTGTGATTCCAGACAAACGCCTGACTTGGGTCACTTCCATCATGGACCGGCTAGCTTCGCTCTCCGTGGAGGCCAGTCAGGTATCTGGCGGTGCCCTGTGTATTTCTCACCCCTCCCTCCTCTCTGGCATTTGCGTGTTTCGCTGTTTACTAGCACTTCCTCCAGGGAACAGGTGAGATGTATGGGAAGGTGAAACTCAGACCAGTCAAGCTTACTCCTTATTAGCAGCCTTGCTGACAAAGAACGGAAGTGAGAAGAGTTGGCAGGGAGCATGAGGGGAAAGGAGGCCTGAAGAGAAGTTCTGGGAGCTGGGGAGCTGGCACCATCAGTGAGGTACCTGCTGAGCAAGCTATGCCGGGAAGGAGGATGGAGTGAAACCCCAGCACTGGGCAGAGGCGGAGCGATCCCGGGAGTTCACTGCCAATCCGTGGGCTCCAAGTTCAACAGGAGACTCCTGGAAGATGGGCTGTAGGGTGATCTCTGACCTTCCCCGCCCCCTCTCTCCAGAAACTGATATTCATGGCTCATGACTTTCTCCAGGAGACAGAAAATAATATCTGACTGTATTTCTGTCACACGTACACGTGGCAAGTGATTCAGAAAGAACCAAGAGCAGCTCACCCCCAGTATTGTTACCAGAGGTATACCCCCAGTCACTTGAGGACAGTTGTCACCTCCGTGCATTAACTGATAGATACTTTTCTCTTGAATATGTGTTTATGATGATGGTATGATACTTTGGTCCTGATCAACGTACCCATGGATGTTGGGAAGGATAATAAAGGCTTACGGGCTTGCAGCAAGAAGAGAAGTCGATGACCTTAAATTTGGAGAGCTGACTCAACAGGAGAAATACCCACGTAAACAGGCTGTGACACCATATCACACAAGAACCACATGAGAACAAGTCACCGATCAGCCCTGATGGGGCTCACAGTCTCAGTTCTGACCTAAAGATCCAGACAAGGCTATGAGGTGAGCGCTGGCTGGCATAGCTTGGCTGGGACATGAGGTTCACCATCTGCCTCGGGTCCGCTGAACCCAGTTCATGCAGCCTAACTTCAAAGGCAAGTCAGTTTGCCACCCCTGGCTTTGGAGATGACTAACAGTCCTGCCTTTTGAGAATGCCAGTCCACTGGTGTGGTACAGAGTCCAAGCCCTACCGCAACGGTGACCTGTGCCTTTAATCCAGGCGCATTAACACTGGATTGGCTCCACCGACTCCTCACATCAAAGATCTGCTTTAATTTTAGTTCCATTTGTCTCAGGGTTATGTAACCTCACGGGAGGTCACACGTGTCTCCCAAAAAAGAAATTTAAGCTGTCTTAAAAATAAAAAAGAACTGTGCATAACAAAACAAACACAAAACAGAAACTTACATTTTTTTCTCCCTGATGAGAAAATGCCAACCTCCCTGCTATCTGAAACATTACAATTTACAACTTAGGGGAGAAAGAAATTAGAGCACAGAGACTAAATCCTGGGGCCTGCCCAGAGGGCGTATGACATGCGGTGCTGTCAGCCAGCCACCAGCACAAGAACCACCCGCATCTTACCATCTTCCAGCTCAAGACAAAGGTTATACACAGCCACTGGCCTCTTCGTCCGCTGCCCCTGTCTCTTTGACTGCCGCGGTGGAGCGTTTGGAGGTGAAGCTGACAGGCAGGGGGGCTCAGGAAATGCAGTATCTGGCGAGGTCCGAAATATCTGTCATTGGGTATAAGCATGACAACGAGTGTCCATGAGTGAAACTTGTCCATTGCTATAGCAAACCAGAACCCAGTCACAATAGACTTGGGGTTCATTCATGACAGGCCAGAGCTAAAATCCAGCCCACTGAATTTGACATCAGAAAGCATTTTTTAACACAAGATTTCAAAATAAAGAATCCCACTAAAATTAAAACAGCACCAAATCAATTTCAAACAATTTTCCCCCCAAAAGTAAACAAGTACAATGGTTTTCGCCATGGGGTAGACAAAATTATGACTTTTCATCCCTGAAGAAAGGTAGCCAGGATACAGTATCAAGGCATTAAGTACCCCAAAGTTTCACAGAGGGTTATTCTTATGCCCAAATACTGGACTTTATTTTTTTCCTAACAACATAAACAGAAACATTCATTTACAAGCATTTTTTTATTGATTTAAAAATAGGCTGTGCCTATGAAATCACCTGTCTGGATTCTGATTTACAGTCTTCATAATTTTCTTATTTAATGTTTTATAGATTTCATCAATTCATTTAATACCTTCCAACCCCTCTTAATAATTTTCTCTCCTATTTCTAAAGCCCAGAACATCACTGCTGTGATTTATCTACAGTGTCACTCATATATCAGAAATAATAACATTAATTAAAAAGTGCTGCTTCTTTGCTTGGCAATTTGTTTTCCTTGGACAAAGTAATATGTGTGCCATGAAGAGAAGCGGTCACATTGCAGTGATTTATCACAGACCTTCCCTGGCACCAAGACCTGGGGTTAGAGGCTCCCTTCAGCATAAGCAACTCCAGCCTTCAATGAAGTCATGAAAAATAAAACATTAGAGACATCAGCCTGACAGACACTGCTGCAGAGTGCTGAAACACTCCTCTGGGTGAGACTAGAGGCAAGCACCTAGCTTTAAGAGAACACACTGAGAAACTCTCAATAAAAGACGACACTGCCATGATCACTTACCCACGTGAGCAAACGCAAGCGTATGACTTGTGTGCTGAGTGAAGGTGTCATTTAGATGTGTGTGTGTCTACACAGAAAGACTGACAGAGAAGAGTTTTAACTGGAAACCCTAGAAATTCTCACCTAAAAATCATTATATGCTTACAAAAATAAGCTAACTTAACAGTGTATTTGCTTTATAGTGTCACACTGCCCCCTCATGTATAAACAGAATAAGAAATTATTTAGCTGCCGTGGGCCAATATTTGCTAGTGAGAATCTCATCTGCTGTTGTACCTGGTAACATACTAACAGTGTCTTTCCGCAGAATCTGGGGTCCAGAGGGCCCTGCTTTGAAAATCTGCTGCTGCCCAGACTGCCGGCACAGAGGGTGTCCTGTCATTGTCACCATTCAAGCTGGAAAAGGTAGTGGCATCCGGGCACGGGAGCAGGGAGAACAGTGACGGAGAGACAACGGGAAGCATAGTCCCACTCAGAGAGAACAGCACCGTGACCACGCTGTATAAAAGCCCTGAACTTACCTGTGCTCAATTTGCACAAACATGGCGGATGCCCCGAGGACACTATCAGAGTAGTAAACCAAACACCACACTGGGCCAGGACATCCAAAGCACCAGTGGGCACCGGAACGCCAGGCCCCAAGGACTGGCACCGGGTGGGTGGAGACGGTTCAGACAGGCCTTTCGGAAAGACCACACAGTCTTCCAGTGTGGTGTGAGTGCTGACAATCTGTGCACCCCTTCCTCCTCATCTCGCGAGGATGAGATGTTTGGGGAGGGCGATGGGGAAGGAGGTGTGGGGGGCTGCCTAGTCTGCAGAGTCAGACCACCGTGGCTCTACCAAACCCTGAAGGCTGAATTAAGTCCCTCCCAGCACTTCAGTTCAGAACCAGGAGCTGGGACTGAACATGAGATGGTCTTCAGAAGACTTTAGGCACCACTGGGTGTGCACCAGACTATGTGCCTTCAAGTCGTTTTGTTTTCCTTGGTTTACATGTTAAAGCTCCTGGGTCATTCAAAGAAACCCTGACATGGAAATCATCCCACAGTTAAGACAACTGTGTCAGGACTAAAGACAAAAATCAGAACACCAAAAATGTATTTCAGGGGAAAAAAATAGGCACTAGACATGCTTGTGAATTCTCAGATCATGCCACACCCCATTTATACATATGATGGCTCAGATTCCAGGTGTAGACCACTGCCTTACTAAATTCTTTGTGGGACCGGCATCCAGACAGCCGAGTCTCCCTACACCTCAGTACAGTTACCAAGCCTAGATACTCCCAGAGACAGCACCATGTGGGTTTGGGGACCTCTCCAGCTCTGAATGCAGAGATGGATGGCTGAACTGATGTTAGTGTACAGGAGACCTCTTAACAAACTGCATCGTTCAGTACAGCACTGGGCACACAGGACTCAGAATAACTGGTACCAACCTGCATTTGTGCCATGACACACAAATAGCGGAAGTGAATTCAGACCTCTACGACGCGGCTTAACCACTGTTTTCACAAGACAGTGATCATTTCGCACTCTTCCAGAGAATATTCTCAATATTCTCAGAGCCAGTGCTCTGAGCAGCTGTCCCGCTCTTCCAGAGAAAGACCTCAGGCAAGGCTGCTATTTTACGACTCTCAGAAACTTAGAGCCAATCGGGTGCTTTTACATATTCCCTTTTCTACTTTAGCACCAAAACTTTACACTTAAATCACCGCCCACTGGTTAGACGAGGTGCATTGGGGCACATGGACATAAGCCCACCAGTGACCACGCCCCACAAACGCATCCACCTTGCCTTCCAATGTAGCATGGATTCCAAGGTCTTTTTCCCTGTCACAAGGCTACGAAACTAATTATTGTGATTCTTTGCAATGTGCAGGAATGGTTTTAAGTTATATATATTTTTTGAGTTTGCAAGAGGAAATCATCAAAGCTCTTCACATGAAATGCTGAGCTGTTTTCTGGTGATCCAATTCTAGAATGTTCTACACATCTTGGTTTGCACTACATTACCAAAACATCATTCTTGAACCACTACACACATCCCAGGTCTCTTTCTGGGATTTTTTTTGATTCCCTTACCACAGTAACATGCCTCCTATTGTTCCTAATCCCCTAATCTACCTTCTGTTGCCTTTGTTTGAGAACAGATCAAATTTATTCATTTCTGGGGTTAAACACTTCTTCACATATTTCCATATTTACAGCACAAGAAAAACTCAGACCAGACAATCCTAACAATAAAACAAAGCTTGTCAGGTAAGGAAGCTGTTTGCAACCTCAGGTCACCCCACAGTGCTAGCACAAACAGAGTCTGTCACTATCGTTCACAGGCAGGGGCCCCGCAGATGCCATGAAGTAGATGCTTCTGCACGGGGATCAGCAAGCTCTTCCTGCCACGCCACCAGGGCCAGGCGTGGCTATGAATCACTTCTGCCAGAAGACAAGGACCATCTCTGAAATGCCTGCATCAGCACCCAACTCCAACCAGCAGCATCTGAAGGAGAACAGTCATTCATCTCCACAGCGATGTCTCTGCAGGAATCTAGTCCTTTTCACCGTGGAAGGAAGACTGTCAATTCTGTCTGCACGCTTCTGGTCGCCCCAGCAGCAGGTACAATTTATGTATCACATGACTATGCCTGACATTATACATTATATTTTGTATGTAAAAAAGTCTTTATATACAAAAATTTGGACCAGATTTCCTGATGCTGGGATGTAAATCTCAGCCACTAAACGCCACTGTGACTATTAAGTCCCACTCATCTGAAGGCCTCCACAGTAAGGTGCTAGGGGTAGATTTCAGGAAGACAGCAGCAAGCCAATGCATTCTCTCTCCCAAGTAAACATGGGAAGTGGGAAGAAAGAGCAGACATCTAATCTTCCTAAAATGCATAATTACCCCAAAAGTCACTTTCAGCTTCAGAGTCTACTGTGTGAGCAAAATACACCATTGTGGGGTTGTGTGACTGAGATGGCTCTGAGTGAACCCAAAGACCCATTGATGACTTCCCTTTGGTTTATCCTCCCTGTGTACTATAGACAAAACTGAAAAACAGTGTCCGGTTGTCTAGTCTTGAGCTAGCTGAACCCCATGACTAAATATGGGTCTATTCTAGGGCATTCAACTAGAATTGATAATGGGAACTGACAAACACAGCCAGGGAGGTTCCAACTTGAGAACTTTAAGGCTACATGTTGGTTCGAGTTCATTAACACTTGGACTCTTGGCTGGAAAGTGTCCCTCTTGTCTCTCACACCAACTTCTCTGCACAGCTAGGTGAACTGAGGTCCCTGTGGTTGAAAATTTGCCCTTGTTCCCTTCATCCATCAATGCCAGACTCAAGGCCTTATCCCAAGACAAAGGCCTCAGAGTCAACTGCTATTTAACATCCTGCTGGCTCCAACCCTTTGTCCCCAACAAAGTAGGATTTGCACATGCGTAGTGTCCTTCCACAGGTGTGTCCCATATCCCACAGAGTGCAGTCCAAAGAGACAGCATATTTGAAGAGAACTATTATCCCTGTAGGGAATATGTACAGACTTTATCTAGTTATTCGTTATTGTCTAAAGATGCAATGTAGTCCCTCGTTACACAGCAATTATACTGCACTAGGTACTGTTAAGTAATGGGGAGATGATTAAGGTACACAGGCTATGTGAGTTATACAGAAATAACGTGCTGTTGCCATATGGATGTCATCCTAGAACCAGCCATCAAGGGCCAATACACCTCCACTTCTGGAAAGATTCTGCTCACTGCTGCAGGGCCTCAAAGAGCTCTCATATGCTAATGAGGCCCCTGAGGCTAGGCAACAGGAGCATGGTAGGGGCTGGCTGCCTCCTGTCAGACTGGGAGACTGGACAGGGATTGAGAACATAAAGGATGACAGAGCATAGGACATGGCTGTTGCGTGCATTCTTCTCACAAACTCAGGCTCTGATGGTGGCCCTGGCATTGGATTTACAAGGTAAAAAAATAAAAATAAAAAAAGAAATTTTATTTGGCATATTTATGAAAT